CTTGACTTACAGACAGCTTGACTTACAGACTTTTTGAGTTACAGACTTCTCTGGACGCAAAATTTAGGTTTGACTTGCAGCCTGAGAATTGACTTACAGACCAGAAAAAAACCAAAATGGAGCAAAAACGGCCTGTTATGGGATTAATCGGTTTTCAATGCACTGTAGGTCGATGGAGACTTGACCTACAGACTTTTTGACTTGAGAACCGCCTTCCAATACGGATTAAGTTCCCAAGTCAAGACCCCACTGTATTCATCAGGTAAAATCATTAATCTGACTTTCCATTTGGCACAATTGGCTATGTCTACCTGGCGAATGAACCGAAATGTGTTAATTATTTTAATGCCAATGCTTTATTCCCACACTCTGCATTTCTCTTACAGCCTATATGGAGATACTGTTCTCCACCATAGGGGGGTACAGATATTCGTAGCGGAGAGGGACGGGGTTATCCTTCTGAACAAGCGCATCGTTCCTCTTCCCAATTTCTCTGGAAATCTCTATCAGGCGTTTCTGGAAGGCCAGAATCAATTTCTTGGGGGCCTCCTCTGTGAAATGCTCGTCAGGGTAACGCCCCAGGGGGATCTGTTCAAATGAAGGAAAAAACAAGAGGAAATATATTATGCAGTGCATTGAGTAGACGAAAACAACGTGGCAGCAGTTGGCAGAAACAGTTAGAGACCACCCATCCCATCATCGGAGCCAAAAGCACATTAGCGTTGGAGAGACATGACTGAGGCAGTCTTTAATGTCTGAGAGACCTGATGTCTGTAGAATCCCCTGCTTCTGTCCTGGAGATAAGGGACAAAACACAGCAAGCTCATCTCTGCATTCCCAGTTAAGAAAAACACACAATCAACCTTTAAGGATTTTCCTATTCTGATCTCTGAGTGTTTCTACTGGGCTGTCCCAGACCACATCAAGCAACAATGGCTGCTCCTCGTTCCATAGCCCAGAGGGCCTGATCCACTGAGAAAGACATAAGGGTGAGTGAGCCTTGCCTTCCCTCCACAGAGACATGTCACCATCTCTCCGAAAGCGCCTACAATCCAAGCACTCACCATGTCTCCCGGAAAGGCGCTGAGCAGCCAGAGGGTGCTCAGGATGATGCATGTGGTGTTGATTTCTGGGATCGTCTCCCTGTAGTTGTCTTCGTTCGCCTGGCCCTTGGTGGTAGGAGGGGCTTTTCTCATGGAAGCCGGAAAGTTTGGCATCCAGGTGCCAAAATCAAACTGTCAGCAAAAAAAGGCCAAATGTTAAGAGAAACCCTGACTGGTTTGGAAAAGAATGTTTGCTTGCTTGAACTGCAACTCCCCCAAATCCACGAGCTAGTAACTGGGCTGGCTGGCTGGTTTAGTAGTTTAGGTTTCTGGCTGCAGAGCCCAATGTTGGGAGTTCCGATTCGCCCCACTAGCCTTCCTTGGAGAAAAGCCAGCCTGCGCAGCCTTGGGGAAGCTCCACGCAGTCCCAGGGCACTCCCGGAAGAGGGGAATGGGAACCCACTCTGTACTTGGGAAACCTTGAAAAGGATCGCCATGAGTCAAAAGAGACTTGACAGTACATGACGATAAATAACCTCTAGTATTCCAGAGACTGGAACCGTAAAAATCAACTTAAGTCTCCTTCTTTCTCTTCTACATACACACACCCCACATCTTTTCTGCACCAGAGTGTTCATTATCAGAATGAACAGTTACACAGTCCTTCAATGGGAGGACACCCTTCGTTTGAGGACTGGCCTCTGTAAAGTAGGAGACTGTTTATCGCACGCCTGCAAATTGGCGCCTATGCCCTGTCGGTGGGGAAACAGGTTCCTTTACGCTGCTTGTTTTGGAGTGGGTTGATATGGGCTGAATGGGGTCATTGGGGGTTCGGTGGAGGTGCAATATGCCGTTTGAGGTGATCCTCACATCGAAATGGCATTTCGGAGGTCAAGCGACCTCGTTTGGTCCAGCTCCTCCGGAATATCAGCAAACTGGACGCTTTCTCTGCTCTTCGACTTTAAATGGTAAAGCAAGTCACATTTAAGATATCCTGTTCCCACCTGGATTGGAGGTAACTGGGCAACATTAATGTGCACTGAAGAGCATAACAAGGTCGCTTCGATAATCACAGGCCGATACTTAACCACCACACCTTATTCGTTGCTGTTGAACATGAGACGGAAACTCCTGATGTTGTGTCATCTATGACTAGGGCTGAAGACGGTGGCCTTCCAGAAGCCAGTGACCCGTTCATCTTGTCGGAAATCCTGGCCACATCGCGGGCTCCAACCTACCTGAAGATTTCTCTCCCAGGAAGCCTCTGTTGAAGATCTCCTCAATCCAAGCCTGGAGCTCCGGATCTTCACTTACAGAGTGATCGTCTTGATAATACAAGTCAATGATGCCAGAGACAAAACTAACAAGTAAAGGGGAAAGGATGGTTAGAGGTAAAGGGTGGGGTCCTTAGGGACCGGTTTCCCCCCCCCAGCTGGGGATGCTGGATCATTTTGTCCAGTCCATCGTTTGAAGCCAACAAACATAATTTGTTCTTCCTCGATTGATATGCGGCTCAGACAGAATCAGAGTTTGGAAAAGTGACCATATTTGGGACTACAATCTCCCTCATTCATTCATTCATTCATTCATTCATTCATTCATCGTAAGATAAAGACATTTCATTCAACTTGAATTGTTGATCGAATGGTATTTATGATTTCATTGCTGTTTTGCTAATATCCTGTCTTCATTGCTACCTAATGCCCTACCTAGCACAGATTTAATTAGATAAATACAGTTCATTCAACCTGAATTGTTGATCGAATGGTCTTTATCATTTCATTGCTGTTTTGCTAATGCCCTGTATTCATTGCTAGCTATTGCCCTACCTAGCACAGATTTAATTTTCTGAATTCCAAACAGAAGATCATTACCCCTCATTAAAACTTGGGACAGAGTTCTCAGGTAGAAGACTTCATTTTAAAAAGTTCTCTGGGAAATCTGCATGCCAAAAAGCAGACACAAAGGTAAGATGCATGCAAAGATATATTTATATGAGAAAGTTGCAGGAAAAGTAAATGCTCATAATTTTTTTGCCTTTAAAAAACTAATCTGCAGAATGTTGGAGGTATGGGACAGCAGGAAGCAGGCAGAAAATAAAATGATTTTATTGGCCGGTTTTATGTGCCTTGTTTCCCACCCAACAGCTCTGAATCCCCCCCCCTTTTAAGCAAATGAATCCATCCACAAAAAAGGAGATGGGGCCAGTATTTCGACTGAAATTGCAGTGTGCAACGCTTTGCCAGCATAAGGTGCTGTGTTCTCTGACTTGATGTTACACAACGTGGAGACTGGCATCAAAAGGAAACCAACTTTGCGCTTGCCAAAGAATGTGGCCTCGTTGCACAAGCTGAGAAAAAAAGGTTCCTTTTCTGAAGTGGAACAAATGAAGGGGTTACTGAGGGGAACTGGATGACCGAACTGGGGTCATTATCAGCCACAGAATGGCAGGCCTTGCTCTCAAGAAAGTTCATGAAGTTGATAAAACGAACGTCGGCTTTCAAAAAGGACTAAAAAGGAACCCCTTAGGCAGCGACCGACCTCTGACCTCTCGTCCTTTGAACACCCCTTGAAATTCATCCAGAGGTTCTCTTTGATTACAGAACATTGCTCTCTCTTGCTCTCCTACTCTCTCTCTTTTTACTACAAACCCCACCCCTACAATACCACCCTGTTGCCTGCCCCCCGCTCTCCCTGCACCCGCCTGACCTCTCTGTGGCTGCCCAGATCTTCAGACCATCATCCTTGTAGTGAAAATTGGGCAACGAGGACACCCCCCGGGCCTCGAGGTCTTCCGGCAGGCAGAGGGAGGAATACGTCAGGGCTTTCATGCCCTTCTGCAACAGCCTGGCTAAGCCTTCATTGGTGGTTCCAGTGGCCTGGAGGGAGCGAGAAAACGAGGTTCACCCTTGTGGAAGAACTTAAGAAGAACCCAATGAAAACTTAGGGTGTGATGACCCAGGGGGTTGTCCCACAGCTTAGTCTGTGAAAGGTGAGTGCACTCCTTGGTGCTTCCTCCCACAAAGTGTACCATTTAAGTGCCAGCGCCAACCAGTTTATCAGAGTATTTGCAACTGCACCTTTTTTAGTTTACTGTGAGGGGCTGCTCTTTTGTAGGTGTGAGTAGAGTTGCTCCATTTCGGTTTGGTTCCAGCATGTTTAATGGCTGGAATCAAACTAAAGTGGCTAGCTGGCTGCCCCTTTGCGGGAGCCACTGGATAGTCTTCAGAAATGGAAATCTTCCTCACCTCTTGCCTTTGGAGGGCAAGGGAAAGGAAATCTTGCCTTTCTTTTTCATTGTCACTAACGTATCATCAGTGCTTTCAGAGGGCTCTTTTTAAAGCCTCATCAAAATATCACTGATGCACTGTGTCAGTTTGGAAGGATTAAAAAGAAAGGCAAAACTTCCCTTCCCTTCCCTTCCAAAGGGGAGTGGCAAGGAAGATTTCTCTTTCTCAGTATCGTTAAGGAGCACTTTCTTCTGTGCATTGCCTAAACCACTTCATAATCTTGAGAAATAGGGAGCTTTCCTTTTAAAGGGAAAGAAATCTTGATCCCACCTAAACAGGATTGCTTGAGGTGCAGTGGGGTCAATTCTTTCATGCCCTTAAAGAAAAGATAAAAAATTGTGAGAAAATTGGTGGGGAGGGTAGAATCCTGTTCAGTGGTCTATAAAAACACCTTTCATATTAGCTACGAAAGGTAATGAGAAAACCTAACTAGGAAATGTCAAAAGTAACTTGAAAAATAACTAGAAAATATTTAGATCTATAAAGTGGTGTTGTTTCCACAGGCCAATGAAGAAATATAATTTTATTCCACCCTTGTTCACTAAAAAGTAGCCCATTACAGGTTCATTACTTCGCTTCTCTTCCATTTTACTCTTGAGCTTTGGGGAATTCTTAACGTGGTTACCAGGAAATGCCACCACAGTGGTGAGATTCCCGATTGACGTACCTTATCAAAGACCCCACCTTTCGAAACAAGACGCTCACGAGCCAACGTGTTGATGTGAAGAGTGTAGCGCGTGTGGGGAACCAGGAGCTACGGGAGGGAAAGGAAAGGAAGTGGATTATGGAACAGGAGGCCCCTCTCCATGATTTTTCTGAGCTCTATTCCTTAGACCAGTCCCGGTAAGGGCGGATCAGAGCCTTTTACCTTATAGATTGGGTGGCAAAGGGGGAGCTGGCGGATCGTGGCCATGGTGAACACCTCTCCCAGCAGGTGCGTCCGGAGCAGGTGGGTGAGAGCCTGGTGGACGTGGAAGTCGGCGTTACGGACCCATGTCTTGGCCAAGATCCAGTCCCATTCAGAGTCGCTGGGCAGGAAGATGGGAGACTCAGGACCGGGGCTCTGGGTCAGCTATGGGAGAAGGAGGAAGAAGAAGCTGAATAACATCAATCGCAGGAGGCTGAAACCTTCAGGGGTAACCTCTAAGATAAAGCTTTAAAAGTTAAAGCTCAGAGGTCACTTTCATAAATGCTGGATAAAACAGGGCTAATGAAAAGCAGCCTCCCTTTTTTGCTTTGTAAAGTTGCTCGATTCTTTCGAGGTTCCGTATGTGTGGCATGAGGAGGCCCAACGGGAAAGCGCAACGACCTGAGAAAAAGACCCAACTAGACTTGGATAATTTGGCCATCTGATCACATAGTTAGACAGAAAATAGTAGACAGACTGCTCCTCCTCGCCCCACCTCACCATCAAGGGACTGGTGCAGCCTGAAGGTGAAGTAATCTTCCCAGGGGTCCTCTCTTCCTCAGACCAGAATCGGTTACCTGGATGGCCAGAGGCAGGAGCTGGTCTTGGGCCGAGAGGTGGAGCAGGCACAGCGGGGCGGCCACGTGCTGCCGGCGTCCGTTATTCAGCCCTGCCGGGACATCCTCCAGGATGCGATAATCGGCAATGAAAATCTTGCCCTCCTGTAAGGTGTGCATTCCAAGAAAAGGAGAAATACGGGATGAGTGAGAAGTTGCGTCGCCAAAGATTCCCCCTGACATTTTAGTTCAAGCATGTCCAACTCTAGGACGTGGTGTTCATCCCTGTCTCCAAGCAGTAGAGCCAGTGTTTGTCCGTGGGCAGTTTCTGTGGTCACGTGGCCAGTGCGACTAGACACGGAACACTGTTACCTTCCCACCAAGGTGGTCCCTATTTATCAACTAAAATTTTACATGCTTTCGAATGGCTAGGGTTTCAGGAGCTGGGACAAGCAATGGGAATTCCCTCCATTGCGTGGATTCGATCTTAAGACGGCTGGTTTTTGACCTTGATTACTAGCATCCTGGGACGTGGTGGCACTGCAGGTTAAATTGCAGAAGCCTCTGTGCTGCAAGGTCAGAAGACCTGCAGTCGTAGGTTTTAATCCACACGAGAGAGTGAGCTCCTGTCGCTTGTCCCAGCTCCTGCCAACCTAGCGGTTCGAAAGGATGCAACATGCAAAACGCAAGTAGATAAATAGGTACCACCACGGTGGGAAGGTAACAATGTTCCGTGTCTAGTTGCGCTGGCGGAAGATTGTCTTTGGATAAATGCCAACTCTATGGGTAGGAAACGGAGATGAGCAATGGCCTCTAGAGTTGGACACGACAGGAAAAATTGTCAAGGTGAACCTTTACCTTTACTACCATCCTCCAGCCACTTGGCCTGCTCTGGGGGGATTCTGGAAAAGATCCTTTCCCCTCCTACTTAGATTCACAGACCTCCTCCAAGCTCTGTCTCCCTGTGTGAAGGTACAAGAGTCCCCCGTCCCTGGGGGAGCCTTCTTCAATCTGTGGCACTCTTCCTCACCTCCAGCTCTTTCTGCAGCGTGGTGGAGCCTCCAAGGAAGGGCGCGACCATCTCCTGAGTAACGGGGAAAATGGAGGGGATCTTCATACACCTCTCCAGCACCCTGGGGTTCAGTCCGTTCAGGAATTGGTATCCGAAGAAGACGTCTTGCTTCCAGTTGTTGGTGATGTATTCTGGAATAAAGAACCCCAAAGGGAAACACTAGGCTGACAGCCTCCGTGTGCGAGGGCCTTCTGGCAATTTCAGCCCTGCCTCCGGGGCATCCCCTCTGGGACTAAAGAAGGAAACCTGTCATTTCCAGCAGGAAGAGGAGGAAGGCGCCTTCTTGGCACTCAAGACAAGAGGACCCATGTTCCAGCCCCCCATTGTGTGTCCCCACCCCCCTTTGTGAAAAAGGAAGAAGAGACAGCACAGAGCCCCCCTAAAAGAAAGAGAACCCTTTTGCCTCCCAAAAAGGGGGAAGTTTGGGAAATGTGGCCATCAATCATCCTACCACCACATTGCTGAAGGGCATTGCAGGAGAAACAGCGGGATCGCATTTCTGTGGCGGATCGCCAGTGAGAGTTGTCATCAGTAGTTCCAGATACTCCTCGATGCTGCTCCCAGCCACGTTTGAGCTGGCGCTGGGGTCCCCCTTACCTGACACATCGGTCTTGCTGAACCAGAAAACCTTCTTGATGTCATCCAGATCTTTCCAGGATTCTTGGCTGTCGGAATAGCCTCTCAGCTTGTGTTCTATGTTCCTAACGGCGGATCAGAAAAGGGGAGGTCGATGGTGGACCAGAAGAGAAGGGGTGCATTTTGAGGCATGCCCTCCCAGTGCTTGGAAAAGTTACTTTTTTTGAACTGCAGCTTCCAGAATCCAGAGGCTTCTAGTGGCTTTTTATCTTCCTTAGGATTCAAAGAGCAAACTTCGTTGGGAGTCTGGCTATGCACGTGCCCTGTGATTCTATTAGCATGGCGCTATGCAATACAATTAAATCTCTTGGATTACATGTCTTATTAAACCCAGGGATTTGTAGTTTCTCACAGTATGTAGAATTCAGTTCTGCAGTGCAGAAGAGAACCGTAGGCCTCTTTCACCAAGAATTTTAGGTTCCTTGCCAAATGAGAAATTGTAGGATGTGTCTGGACATGAATTAGTCTCGAACAGGTGGAACTGAGGTGCTCCAGGAATACTTCTAAGGATGGGTCCTTCCCAGGCGGTTTCCCCTTAGCTCCACCATCCCAAACCAGCCACCCTGGCCACCTCTTAGCTTGCTGGACCTCCCAGATACTACCCACGAAACCCTCCGTGATTCCTTGCAGCTTACTTGGTTTTAGAGCGTTCAAGAAAGAGGGCTGCTTTGGTGAAGGAGAACTTGTCGTTGTTCTCCAAGTTTTCGACGGAGTCAACGTCCAGACAGTAAGGGACACCTTCAGCGAACACCTTCCAGCTGCACAAGAAGGAAGGAAGGAAGGAAGGAAGGAAGGAAGGAAGGAAGGAAGGAAGTGGGTTTATAATAAAGGAACACAAATTTAGGCTGAATCTCAGGAAAAAATAATTTGTGCAGCAGTAAGACAATGGAACCAATGACCTTGGTGGGCGCTCCAATGCTAGAGGCCTTCAAGAGAAAACTGGACCACCCTCTGCCAGATCTGCTTTGATCTGGAGAAGATTTTTCTGGGGAATTCTTTTGACAGATCTAGGGGCTTTGTGTTTCGTTATACAAGTTCTTGCATACCTAGGGTTCTGTCCAGCACTCTAATGGATAAGTCAAAGGCATATAAGAGCCAGGCCTGCCTCTTGCACCCAGGCCCTCCTATGCCCAAGACCAAAATGTCGAGAAAGGGTCTTCCTTGGTGGTCTTCAAAAAAAGCTAACCTAGTGTGATGCTGGCACATCACTCACCATTACTGGAAAATGCACTCACTCATAAGAAGCTTGCCGTCTCTGAATCTCCTCCTTCCGGACCTTCAGGAGTATGGGCAGAGTATCCATGGCAGGAGTTTTGGCTGGTGAGAAAGAAAGAACACACAGAAAGAGATGCTGCTCATGTGTAGGGATCTGAAATGTCTTTCCAAGACCTTAATTGCCAGCTGGCCCCGCTATTATGAGGTTTTGGCAGGTGGTCACCGGGAAAGGTGTTGCAGAGTTTTGCATTTCTCATTAACTCACTCTGAGATATTGACAGGAGAAAGAGTAGAAACCTTCCATTACTTACAATTGTGAACCGATCAACAGCAAACAAACTGCTTCCAATGGACTGAAGAGAGGGAAAAGAACACTCCACAGAGAGGTGGAATTATTATGTGTAAGTAGTGTAACCTTTTATTCTTTCTCTTACAAATAGGAGTGAATGATTCAGACCATAAGTGCCAGTTGATGAGAAAAACAGGTGGGCTACTCTGGGAAACTTTGTCTATTGACCTAGAAGCTGAAAATCTAGGCCACAGGCTCTTTCCTCTTCCTCTTTGAGCAGGTCTACTCACCAGTCCCTTCCCGGAGCTCCAAAATCTGGCGCCCCTCTATCCACTGGTAGCAGGGAAAGTGGAAAGTCTTCTTATCCGGGGACGTCACGGTCACTTTATTGCAGTACCATCTGGTGGTGACCACGAGCGGCTTGCACTCTTTGTGGAGACGGATGAGCACAATGTCTCCCAGGTCATGGTCAGAAGAGACCGCATAATCACTCACCTTCAAAGGCAAAATGGGGGACATTGGGTCATTTAATCTGGGTCATTGTCCAGCCACAGATGATAGAGGAGTACACAGTGGCAAGGGAAAAATTCTTCAATTTTGCCTTTCTATGAGGATTTCCAAGGTGCAATATCAAACGTGGTCAGCAGGGGGAACCAGAGAGTATTTCCCTCTGTCTGGTTTGGAATCCATTGATAACACAATGAACTACTTGCACCATTTGAGTCGTGATAATGATATGGAGAGCCTGAGAAGTAATGAATAACCCAACAACTTCTTCTTAAATGCAGCCTTTCTCCCTCTGCTTACCCCTCTGATTTTCCAGGCACCATCAAAGCCTCCATCTTCACAGTGGAGATGCCACCTTGGCCATCTTTCTCCCATGTCTGAGAGCATATTTTTTTGGAAGTAGGAGGAACCTCCCAGGATCTAATAGGTCCCGTCCCAAAACTTTATATTTCCAAGTTTTTCCCATATCAGACACACTGTCAGAATATAGAAATTTTGTAGGCCTGAACATGTATAAGTGTTTCATTAATGAGCTGCCATTGTGCACAGATGTGAGAATGCTGAATCACTCTGGAGATGATGCGATGTCTTGAAACCAGAAGAAGACCAGGTGCAAAGGATGAAGTCATCTGTCTTCTGATTGGACAAAATATGCCATGTACATGTATATAAGTGGACTGTGTCTTTGTGTCTTTCTCTTCCTCTTCCACCACTTGCTGCCATGCATTATGTCCGTTTGTATAAAGAGTTCCTGCCATGCTGTTGAGATGCCTGCCTGTAAATAACTGTAAATACTTGTAAATACAACCGTCTTGCAACAAAGAAGAACTTGTAAGTGTCTTCAATAAATCTGCGTATTTCTACTGTCGCCAAATTCCCTGACACACACTCTGCTACAGAAGTTTTCATTCCAGCTCTGCTGAAGGACAGCATTTTCTGAATCTATGATTATTATTATTCCTCATCATTTTTCTTCCAAATTGAGAAATAAACCAATAAAATCCCAGCACAGATATCACTGGCAACAGAAACCATAAAAGATTCAGGCAGTTAAGAAAAGAAAAGGTTTAGGCTATGGTAAAGTGGACATGAGGGCTCGGAGGAGAAATCTGCAGAAAAAGGAAGAAACCAACCCAATATCTTTCTCGGAAAAAGTTCCCTGGCACCAGAGCAGGGGTGGGAGAAGGGATGCCAGACTGCAGAGAGAGTGTGGTTTAGCCAGCTCTTCTCCGCTATTGTTCCTCCCCTCAGAACCACAGGTTTTTGAGGCATTTTTTTTACTCTTTTTTTAAATTTTTAACCTCCTACAGGGACTTTAGGCCAGGATTTGCCTTTCCTTCATGGCTCTTCTAGACAAAACGAAGCCCAACGCTGTTTCCCTCAAGTGGTCCTGGGGATGTGCAGGTCTGCTCCTCTTTAGGAAATCTTGAAGAAATCTTTTTAAAATGTTTAAGAAATCCACTTCCCTGGTGGAGCTTCCTGTTCTGGAGCTTTTTAAACATTTTGTTTGGGTGCGTAATGAATGTTTCCCACTCAGATGTTTTCCCAGATCTCAGCTCTTAATAGGCTGATTTTGAACAATAGAATGTGTTCTCATGCTAATTTTCTGAAGTTTGAAAATGTAAATAAATCTTCTGGTTTACTAACTCAAAAAAAAAAGGAGAAAAACTCACTGCACATTGGATGGAGGCGGATAGCTCCTTTGCAGGAGGTCTTCAAGGTGCTGAACATCATGCTCCCAGATAGGTCCAGCGATTTAGAAAGCTCTTTTAAAGTTCGAAGTAAAACCCACAGTGGTCGTTCCCTAGGAAGTGCCAAGCCTGCTATTACATTTGCCTCAAAGCTTCCGGCCTTAAAACTGTGTCTTTCCCAGCATGGATTTTTCCACTTGGAAATGTTAATTATTTGGACTACAATTCCCCAAATCCCCCCTTTCTAACTTTTTTTTTTTTAAACTTCATAGTTGGGGAATGATATCAGAGCTTGGGGATTCTGGGAGTTGTAGGCTGGAAATAATGTTTCCTAGCTCAGAATATTTGCAATTCCTCTGGAAAAAAATGTCAAGTGTTCCCGTTTTTCAAATTTGGAAGTTCTCACTGGACGACACCCTTATGCTAATCTTCTCTTCCGGGACATGATAATTTTATACATCCCAATAGGATGGAAGGGAACCCTTTCCACAGTTTACTACAGAATGGGACTCAATAAACATCCCAAGGGTGTTCAGAATTAAAAGGGGGGAGAGTCTTTGATGCTTTTTTAATATGTATTTAGCCCCAGGCACCCAATGAGCCCAATGCCATGGAGTTTATTTGTATGAAGATAATAAAATTGGTGTTTTGGGGTATTCTCGAAATTTCACATCTTCTTGGTTTTCCCTTCTATAATGCAATACCCACAATGCTCTCATTCGTTATAGACAAAAAATATAGAAAGGGGGAATGTAGAGTGGGATGTCAAATGTATAACGATAAGAAGTGTCAAATGTGTTTTGATGTCATCATCACCGTAATCATCATCGTAGAACTGCCAAGCTGGAAAGGACCCTATAGTGCAGTCACACCAAATGAGCCCAATGTCAAGGAGTATATTTGTATGAAGATAATAAAATCGGTGTTTCACATCCTCCTGGTTTTCCCTCCTATAATACAATACCCACAATGCTCTCAGACGTTATAGACAAAAATATATATTGAGCATCTTTATTTAAAATTTAACGTACTTAGAACATGACATATACACATTATTCAGAATTCGCCTTGGCTTAATTAGTTATAATATAATGAGAAAGTGAAAATTATGGTGGAGGGCACAGAAATAGGCGTGGCAAACTGTTCATCATCCTGCTTTCAACTTAGAAGGAAAGACGAGCAGACTTAATAACCTTGATTTCAGGCATGTGTAGATCGGCTGCTTTCCTTCAAAGAGAAGAAATGACATAGAAAACCAGCTCGTCTTTCCCCCAAAGATCTTCACAGAGGACACACTAAGACTGCTGAGGGTCTAATTTTCCTCTTTTTTAAAAAAAAGAACAACCTTGGATTTGATGCAGCTTTGAGAAGATTGACATTTGGTCCTGTTACTTTTCCTTGGGGACTACAAATCCTATCATTCCCCGGCATGCTGGGCTTGGAGTGGGGGGGATTCTGACTGTGACCGTTCTAAAAGCTGCAGCAACTCTGCCTTGGGGTGACTCTTTGAAACGTTGTTCCCGGAGGACCGGCCAGCTAGCTCTCCCTTTGCAAGAGAGCCAACCCCGAGGCCGGGCTGGAGGCCACCTTCCCTCCCTCGCCCACCACTCACCGCTCCTCGGTAGAAATCCAGACCCCAGTTGTCTAGGGCGGTTTTGGGGCTCTCGCCTTCGGTGCCCACCAAGCTGATGGAAATGGAGTCCAGGGTCCCCGAAAAGAGGAAGTTTCCAGTCATCACTCGGACGTTGTACATGACCATGGTGGAGTCCGGCCGGTGGACTCAGGTGGACCTGGCGGTATCTGATGGGAGCGAGAAGGAGGCACCGTCTGTCTCCCAGGTGCACGGCAGGCTTCCATCCAGAGGATGGGTTTTAAAGAGTCCCAACTTCTGTCAGCCAAACAGCCCCACCTCTTCTCCAGTAGGGTAGCTCCACCCTTTCAAGGAGGTGAAAGTGGAACTGGAAACCCTCCTGGGTAAGATATATCAGAAGATAATGATGAACGTCTGGGCAAGGCCTTTCAGAAAGTGTCCTGGGTTGCCGTAGATTATTTCTGCCCCTGGGCAGCGAGAGAGGAAGGAAATGGCACTATCTTTGCTTCTACATGACAGGAACCCCTTGTGTCATTCTAGCTTGCAGATGTTGCTCAGGGGCAAGGCAGAAGGAACGGAGGAGACACTGAAGGGTACCAGTGAGAAGGGTGCGACGTGGTGGCACTGCGGGTTAAACCATAGAAGCCTGTGTGCTGCAAGGTCAGAGGATCAGCCATCGCAAGATCAAATCCAGGCGATGGAGGGAGCTCCCGTCGCTCGTCCCAGCTCCTGCCAACATAGCCGTTCGAAAGCATGCAAAATGCAAGATGATAAATAGGGACCACCTCGGTGGGAAGGTAACGGCATTCCGTGTCTAGTCGCTCTGGCCATGTGACCACAGGAACGGTCTACGGACAAACACTGGCTCGACGGCTTGGAAACAGGGATGAGCAACGCGCCCTAGAGCCAGACATGGCTGGACTAAATGTGAAGGGGAACGTTTACTTTTACCTTACCAGTGAGAAGAATAGGTGTCTGGGGAAAGCCAGAGAAGGAATGAGAAGCGACAGGAGCGAGACCACAGGAGAAGCGAAGCGAAGGAATTGAGCAAACAACAGAGTAGAAAGAAGAAAATTGTAATAGCAGGTGATCCCTTTATAGGACCACGAGAAAAATTTGGCAAAGAGCATACAGTTTGCATAGCTTCTTACTGGTCCAATCCGTTGCTCTAGCATTTGTTTCATTATTTATTTATTTATTTGCAACCACACAGTTGTTATTGTTTTAAAAGTTTCTGAACAAACAAAAGAAGAAGAAAAAACTTGAATGTTGGTGGAAAAAAGATCTCGTTGACCCAAAGGTCCTTCCAGGGCAAAGACTGGTTAGGTTGGCCACAACATACTGATCCCCAAGGGATCACCAAATGCAGGAAGCTTTCTGGAGAACATGCTTTAAGCTCTGATGGGGCCCACCTTGATCCATAATGTAAAATGCTCAAGGTGTTTCCACGGAGGGACACATACAGACATTTGACACCTTTCCAGGTCACGGTGGTAATAGAAAAAGCATGTGTCATGCTTCTGGCATGGGAGATGGGTCTCAGCAAGTCCTACCATGATGATATTGGAATTGCTGACAGCTTTGCAACCTTCTCTGCATTAGGTTTCCTCATCGGCCCTGATAGACCAGATGGGCGGGATACAAATCA